ATAGGCATAACAAGTTTTCATAAATAATGGCATATACCTTTTATTCAGTGCAAATTAAGTTCATTTTTCCAAGTTTTCATTTCACAGACCTGGCAACGGCAGTTTGATGTGCTTTAGGAAAACATACATGTAATATAGATAAATTGCATTTCACTGTATAACTGAATCTCCAATGCAGATTTTAGTCTGCAAGGGATAAATTTATTAGAATTAGTGCCAAAGATATAGATTTCATGCTGGCTTTCATTTGCCTTAAACCCCTTACTTTACTTCGACAATAAATAGTGACTTTGCACGTAAAATGTAATTTTAAAATACTGTCAGAATGATGTGAAAAGGTGCTTATGGTAAATAAGCATCAAGTCCTGCCTGAGTGCTTGAAGCAGGACCATATGCAGCAATGTGCCACTCTGCCACTCACTTCTTTGGAGCAGCAATATGCTGCCACTGCACTTGGCAAATGGTTTTCTACTGACGAACTGTTCAAACCTCCCTTCCCCATGCCTGGGCTTGCACTAGAGCTTCATGCAGCTGAGATGGGGGATGCCAGGTGAGTGCTGAGGGTGCCTCGCTCAAGCTGAATTTTCCATTTCTTGAACTTGTTCCCCCAGCAGCCCCTGTACAGGTCAATGTCACCACTGGCAAACCACGCAGGGTCACTATTTTAAAAGCCTTGCTGTGGCTTGTGAATTTTAATGTGCCTGTAGTGTTAAACATTGGCCGGTGATGTATAAAGAACATAATGCTAATGGGGTATATTTTGGGAGGATCATTTCAGGCGCTTCAATGAGGCAGTGAGGGAGTGGGGGGGCAGAGGTAGGCATTCCTCATGCCTGTTTTGCCACCAAGGAAAATGTTGGCAGATTCACAACCTCAGTCCGTGGTCTGTGTGCTCAAGTATTATCTAGAAAGGACTGCAGAGCGGGGAGGTGACTTTCATGGCTTGTTCCAAAACATACTAAGGTGAAGGAAATAAAAAAAGTAGTGCTTTTTAGTTTCTGGAAAGCTTAAGACTGTGACAAGACTTATGTATTTGAAAGCACTGGAAGAATGTGTCAACAGTTTGAAATCTGGGATCTGACAAAGTGGCCTGTATACTCAGACAGATGTTTCGGTGATGAAGAAACTTGCCTTTTGTGGCAACAGTTTTGAATATTTAAGGCTCTTTCCTGTAGAAGTCCTTAGCTGAATGAAGTAGTACCATGGCTCTGAAGTTGTGTCTGCAACTGAATTCCCCAGCTGGAGTTTGTCTCAAGACTTATGTGTGGGAAATTCTGCAGTACTATGGATGGCATCACAATGGATATCACAACTGGAAACTCAGAGAATATGTTTATTACTTATAAAACTGGCTGTTCCACCAGTACTTTAGCCTCTGAAGGATGTTAAATGGCAGACACTGCACAAATAATGAAGCCTTTCACAGGACAAGGTGGGAACAGAAGGGCTATGGTGGCCTTCAGAGTAATACAGCAACCCTTTTAGTTTGATATGGTGATCTGTCTCCTGTTGCAGGTCATCTTTCGTTCATGCATGGTTTTACTAGCCTGAGATATGCCATCCTATTTTTCCTCTTCTCTTTGAGCACTGCTGTATGTGATATCTCTTGTGCAATAGAAATTGCCTGCTGATTTAAGATTCACTCTGATTTGTGATGTTTGCAATGTAATTTTCCTCTTTACTGCATTTTTTGTTCCCATTGTTTTATTTAATATAGGCCTGTCTGAGTATGAACCTGTGCAAGACAGTTTTGCCATGCTGTAGCTGCATGGCGTTACTGTACTTTCATCTCATCTCCCTGACTGGATCCATGTGATATTTGACCTCCTTAGGGCATCATACTCTGCTTTTAATCTTTAGGGGTCTGTCCAGCCCTGGGTTTGAAAGTATGGTTCTATTGCCATACTAACCAGAGCTCATTAACACCTGTCAGCTTGGAGCAGGCAGCGCAGTATATATGCCAACAGCAAGGCTCAGGTGAAACATGTGATCACTGCAATAAAGTGACCTGAGCCATGAGGGAAGGTTTTGAGCCCAGACTGCCGCTGTGCATTTGCCTTGATAATACACATGCACTGTTTTTCCTTGTGTACAGAGCAGAAGGTTGCTAAAGTTAGGCACAAGGGAGTGTCACAGGGTAATGATTTTAAACTAAAATAAGGTAGATTTAGCCTAGATATAAGGAAGAAGCTTTTTATGATGAGGGTGGAGAGGCACTGGAACAGCTTGCCCAGAGAAATTGTGGATGCTCCATCCCTGGAAGTGTTCAAGGCCAGGTTGGATGGGCCTTCGAGCAACCTGGTGCAGTGGAAGGTATCTCTGCTCATGACAGGGTGGTTGGAATTAAATTATATTTAAGGTCCCTTCCAACCCAAAACATTCTGTGATTCTATGTTTCTCTAAGAAGAGAACTGACTTTTATGAGATGGTTCCAGTTGAGACACAGGCTGGTCATCGTGTTAGAAATCTTATGTGTCCCACAAGGATATCTGAGCCAAGCTCACAGGTACCTGATGAAGCAACCACTGTGGTACAAAAGTAGTTGCTGTTCTGGGGAGGACACCCATGATGCAGGGCATTGGAAGACTTACTGCTGGATACCCAGTCCATGCAGTGTGTAAAGCCATCAAAGGGGCATTTGATTCACAGCCTCTGGAGGCACATACTCTCATCATCATCAGTACTTGTACATGGATCTGATTTCACACAGTTTTTTAGATTGCAGAGGGAGCACAGAGCCTCGTCCTCTGCTCACCAGCTGCATGCAAATTTTACCTTCAGAGTTGGGTGGATACCCTCTTTTGGGCTGGCTCAAGATCAACTGTGTTTCCTTACTGGGGTTCTGGCTGCCTCCTAGTCCTATGCAGTGTTTGTGACCCCCAGCTGAAAACTGAGAGGAAGGAGCTGCAAGGCATTATCCAGAGATGCAGCCATAAGGATAGGATAAGCCACTGGAACAAAAAGAGTTGCAGAGAGGCTGAGCTCTCTGCTGGGAGTAATGGGGATGCATTACAATTACTGATGTGAAAGCAATAAAATGATGGGGTAAATGAGGTGGCAGTTTCTGTTTTCTATTCCCTGCTGTCTCCTTTTTCTTAAACACTTAATGACAAGGCTGACAAGGCCACTTCTCTGCCTCCTCACAAGGGAGCATGTTGTCATTTAAAAAGAACAAGACTTTGGGAGCAAGAGAACAATTTCAATTTAACTGCTGTTTTTTGAAGCTGCAGGATGAAGTGGTTAAACTTTGTGCAACATCAGTGTTCAGGATTCGATGCTACAGCATCAAGGCCAAAGGAAGGAAAACCCATCCCCTCTGCTCCACCGAGGCCCTGTGTGGTGTCCATGTGACACCATTTCCCCAGTGTGGAAGGAGGCTGCAGGGCAGCTTATGTCCCAGTTAGTCCCCGATCTCAGCAAAGATATCTGTGCTTATATGTGCTGTCTTGTCACACCCACCCCACTGGTTCCAGTGAGGTGTATTTCTAGAGCATGGAAAATGCACTGGCATGAGAGCCCAGGAAACACTGCTGGAACATCCACTGGGGATAGTGGGGGGGGGGCAGGCAGGGAGAGGATACAAGATGGAAAAGACCAGAGGGCATGGGCTAAACTGTTGAGTAATGCTTCTACCTGAACACTTCTTGTACATAGACTGTGGCACTGATGCTGTAATAGTTAGCAGAGGGAGCCCTCTCACCTCCTGTATTCTCCACTCTGCATCCCTTTGTACCCATCAGTCACATCTTGCTGACACCTGGCAGTCAGCCATGCATTTCACTCAGAGCAGTTCTGTTGTCTGCTTTCCCTTCTAAGTCACTACAGAAACATAGGGGATGGAAATGGTTGGATTCTGCTGTATCTCTTAAGTAAGAATATTATAGTCGATTTGTAATAAGGCTGTGTTTCTTCACAGTTTTGGGGATGCCTTTTCTTTGTCTGGGAATCATCTAGCCACAAAAATAATCCCTCCTCCAAGCATTTGCTGGACCACATGTTGCTCTTTATAAATGTTGAGGGGCAACAATCTCTGTGGCTGGTGGGCGCTGCCTGTTCACAGCTGCCCAGGGACCTTCTTGGGTAAGAGTCATGAAAGCTGAGGCTACAACCACAGAATTGGATGCTGCTTTACAGCCTGCAAACAGTAGTTGTGCTGGGTTATGTTACCATGACCTTGTTTATAAAAATTGATAGTATGTTTGTCTTCTCTACGAAATAATGGGGCTCCTCACAGCACTATAACAGTAACCTTGAATGGGTCTTGAATACACTTATGATGACTTGCAAAGTGTTTTTTGAAAATGTTTGTTCAACATTTTGAAAGCAGACTGGAAGCTCTGTCATGTACCCATTATTTGATCTTGCTTAAATGGCGTCTTTGAGTGGCTGTTTACCAAAATAACAAATCCTACTTGAATGTTTTTAGTTTATCAGCTTCATAGAAAGTTTGCAAATCTTACTGAAAATTGGACAGTCTGATTAGGAAATAATTTCACGCAATAACAAAATACATTAAAGAAACTGTCAGGAGACCTATGTTCCTGGCTGCCCTGTCAAATAGCGGATAAGTTAACTTGTGAGACAGTTGTGTTCCAATAGGAATTGTTTGATTGCTGATGATTTTCCTTCTGGATTATGTAACTAAACAGGTCATTTTTTTTTGAAGAAAAGAACGCCTGTGTTTAGTTTTCAACTGAGACCTGCCTAGTTTTTTCTTTCATGGGAGTTAAGGTGTTCTACTGAAGGACAGCAAAAGCACCCCCTGCACTGAGATGCCCTTTCTCTTCCCACCTGTTTACTGCTTAGGCCATAGTCAACTGCGCAGAGGTATTTTTTATCAGTTTACTCAGTGCAGCATGAACTCAATAATTTGAGTTCATAAAAAATGTGCAATAATTTGTTTTTGATTGGGTTGCAATGTGCTATCAGAAAACTACCATTATATTGTTCTTCTTAAACTAGTAAGTATTTTTGTATTTCTTTGTTTTGTGATCTTGCAGACTCAGCTCTTGGGAGTTTTACTTGCTGCTGCTTCAAATTTGCTGATTAGTGTCTCTTTGAGTGTACAGGTATGAAATTGTTTCTCTTTATTCAGAGTTGGTTATATTTAGCAAGTAACTTTTGTTGCAGTTTGGTTTTGATGAAGTCAAAATACAAATTTTGTTGCATTTAATAAACAATCTCTCTTTTCAATTGTAATTTAACAGTGCCCTGCTGTAGTTGTCGGGAGCTCTCAACCTGTTTTCTACTGTGATTCTCATACAGGAACAGAATAAGAATTCATAACTAGTGCTCCTCCTTGTAATGTGCCATAAGGAAATACCAGCTGTGACTCACTTGTAATCATCAACAGCGTTTACTGGATTTGAACTATCTTCCAGCTTTTTAAATGCTATTTAGGAAAACCCAGTAGCTCTCATTGAAATTTGACAGACAGTTTAAATTGAAATTTTTTTAATCCTTTAAAGAAGGTTTTTCTCCATTTAGTAACAGTATCTTCTAAATATGAATAATGAGTTTCCCTAGATCTCAACATTTATTTTCATACTGATATTAAAAGGATAGACTGAACTTTTTTGTTGTCTGTTTTTCCCACAATGCAGTCAATTAACCTTCCTCTCTTCCCTCTAGCAGGTTGTCAGCTAAAGAACAGGTCATCATTTGCAATGTATTTCATCTGGGTTGGGACCCCTGGTGGCCTAGTGGTTAGCATGCAGGACTCTCACTGCTGCGACCCAGGTTCAAATCCCAGTCTCCTGGGTAGATGGAGCCTGTCAAGCCCTGTGAGGCCATCCATCTAAGAGAAGGTCACTCTAAACAAACCTACGTCCTGAGGACCTCACTGCCATTGTCCAAGCTTGCTTGGCCCCGGCAGATGAACCTTAGGATTAAAGGGTGGGCTCAGTTCAGCGCAGGCTGTGTCTCACCTAAAAAATCCATTGCGCAGGCTGGAAAGGTAAAAGACCTTTCCCAAAATCTTCGTTCGCGAAGACTGGCCATTACTTACTTACTTACTTACATCTGGGTTATAAACAGTCTCTACCTAAATACCATTCACACGCATTACTATGCAAAGAAGGCAGACATCTGGAGAAAGAAGGCTATAAGAGAGTTGCTGAAATCACCTTCCTGTGTTTGTTGCACATCTTTTCAATTGCACTATGCCTTCAAGATTTAATCCTACAAGAATCTGGGGCAGAAAACACAGTTCAGGATTCAGTTAAGAACTTGGTTTTCAGCAGAAACTTGCATTCTTGATTTGAATGTTATTTAATATTAATTTCATTTGTATCTTTAGTGGGCTTTTTTTTCCTGTGTTTACAAATACTCAAAATCCTGGATGTTACTGTGAATAACATCCAGGTCTGTGGCTCAAGGAAGTTTGATTTCCTTGTGCTCTTTTTCTCCTCAGAGGGCTAAACTTCCTAGGATTTCATCCTCTGAATATGTTCCACAGCGTGAAGCTGCAATAATGTGCTGCATCCTCTCAATAGGAGGAGTGACTAAGACTATGGAGTTTCACAGACATTGCTGTTTGGCATATACTCTGTAAAGTAGCCTACGAAGTAGAAAGGGAGTTTGAGGAAAATTGTTCACAACCTCCCCAGGGCTCTGCAGGGATACTTCTAAAATCAAATATCAAGTAATGGAGAAAAAAATTTATTTTACCACCATTTATTCTGCAATAACTGTAGCATTTGATTTCCAACTTTTTTGACCCATGTGCAGAGAGGCTGGAGAGTAATTTGAGAAAGGAAACTGTATTCTGCAGAACTAATGTGGTAAACATTGCATCATTCCCAATTATGACACCTTCCTGATGGAGACTGCCTGGACTCTGTTTCAGAAGATCAGTGTGATCAATGGCAAATTATTATCTTGTTATATACAGGTTCTTGCTGTACAGCCAGAGAGAAAACAATTACAACCTGTATCAATGATACCTTCTTCATGTAACAGGAAGTGTTGATGAAGTATTACTTGAGTGTATGTTATACCTGTTGTAACAGGTATAGCTGGTTTTCCTTCAGAAAATAATGCTTTACCTATTATCTTCTACGGTCAAACAGGAGATTGTAGCCAAATCCTAAATTCTGTCTAATTAATTTAGAGTCCTCCTTACAGAAGATGTGATTAAGTGCTGCGTTTTTCATTTTGAAATTATATTTCTGGCGAGGATATGTTTCATGGGCAGGAATGCCATGTTGTCTGTTCTCCTTCTTCCAGTTTGTTGCCGCAGTTCTGATTCTGCTCCATCTCCTGCCTTTGGGTGTTTCCAGATTCAGAGCACAACTGCTGGGCTTCTGCTTTGAGACAAGAACAGATGCGTGCAGTGATAGCTCAGAAGCACTAGCTAGTATTCACCTAGTATTTTTCACGTTTATTCAGAGGCCTAATTTTTCAGCCATTTCCACCACGGCTCAGAAAGCACACATCTGAAGCAGCACTAAGTTAACAAAAAGCTGTGCAATAACAAGCTGAAAACCATGCTTAAAAAGAAACCTTGACACACCTGGAATTTGAAGTTGACAGCCCCCTTAATTATTCCACTTTTGTCAGACATAAGAACACAATGGAAGTCTTTCTATTCATGCCTGTTCCTAATAATTAATTTTCTAGAAATGCGCTCATCTCCGACTGGCTTGCCAAACTGAGCTGAAGCCCTACTACACGAGCAAGCTGTGGTGGTGTGGGATTATCCTCCTGGGGCTTGGAGAGGTGGGCAATTTCGCAGCCTACGGATTTGCCCCCATTGCTCTTGTTACTCCACTGGGATGTGTATCTGTCATAGGTGAGATTTTTGTCGTTTCTTGCTTGGGTACATGCTTTAATCAAACGCTTGCTTGTGACTAGGAATAAAACTGTAGGAACTGCAGCAGGAACACAAGAGGAAAATGTTAATGTTGTGGTTTGAAAAGAAATTATTCATATAATTACATGAGCTGACAGTTTAACAAAAACTGTCTACTTAACTCAGAGACTCTTCTAATATATTTCTTTTTCCACAGTTTTTTCTTTTGTGTCACTCTGTGCTCTGCTGGTTCCTGCCAGTTTGCCACCCAGTGCTGCACCAGTGTCGCCAGTTCTGCAAGCCCCCAAAGAGGGGGGCTGGCATCCTACTGACTGCACAGAGCTGTGGTCTGATCCTGAGTACCTACATGTTTTCTACATTACCATCAAACCAAGTAGTTTCTGCTGCCTGTTCCCTGCCCATCCCCGTATCTCATGTTAACATGGGCAAACTTGCTTGACTCTCTGCATTGTGTGACAAAAAAGGCCTACAAATTTAGTGTATTTCTGGACATTCTTAAACCTGTTCATTTGTTCCTTCATGTACAGATTACCTGGACTTCAGCAGAAGTGATATGATCTTACTCTTTTCTTAATTTGTTTTTGTTTGTAATTAAGATATTGAGACAAGTGTGATGTTTCTTTGATAAAGTAACATAAATTTTAAAATATGTTATCATGTTGTGCTAATGCAAAGCATAGTGGAGAGGGTGATATTGTACAAAGGCTGTGAAAATAGGAATTCAGGGTGCAGCTGCATCCCCTCACTCAGTCACTTCACATCCACAGCTGAAACATCCAAGGCTGAGATATCTCAAGATATGCATATGCTGGAGCTCATTTACTTGCTCTTGGCAGGTGATAACACTTCATAGTCTGTCTCTGGCTACCAGTTTCATGCTCAGAAGTGACATTGCAGTGAGTGATTCTGCATGGGAAGGTAGAAGAGATGAATTATCTTCCCAGTGGACTGCCTGGCTGTATTGGAAGGAGGCAGCTAGCCATGTGCAATTTAGTGTAGAAAGGAAACTGCAGGCAATTTACTGTAACCTTTAATGTTAAACTATTGCAGAATTTCAGAGAGTGAGATGTAAAGCCATGTTAGTTCACCATGGTAGGAAAGATTTCTCAAAGAAAGGAATGCAATATTACCTGAGATGGAAATGTGAATTAATATGACATAGGGTGATTTTGGTGGCAGTAGTTATATCTTTAACAACTGTAGACATTTCCACATGTCTCTGAACATAAAAGGATGTTGACCAATCTAATTCGTTACCCAAACTGAATAAAATGCAAATATAGAAAATGAGAAAGAAGAATGAAAAGCAGTGAGAAGGGGAGAAATCCCACTGGTTGTTAAACTGCTACAAAGAAGAGATCACATTTAGGGTTGATTTTTATCTGAGCAGATCCCTTCTTCTTTATTTTTGCAAAATGTGAAGAAATGTTGCATCCGATGATTCCTCCATTCTCCATTTCCCCTTACTTATAAAAATACCAAGAAATCATTTTCCTAACTGATATGTCTTATCAAAATTCTCATCCACTTTTTTTTTGACCCAAAATGCTTATCCAGTAAGATCCCAGAAAGCACTTTAATAGCTTATATTCCATTCCCATATATCAGCTGACAGTATCCATTTCATAGCCCAAACAATAGAGATACCTGAAATTTTATTTAGTCTAGCAAATGTTCCCTTAAGGAAGGGAAAATTAAAATTATGTAGACAGCCGATAATAGTGATAACTTCCCAGTAACACTTTCTACTACTTTCCTGTCTTCTGAAATTAAAGCCAGAGAACATCCTCCTAATTTGAGAAGAGTTCATTATATAGGCCAATGACAAATTAACCAAGACACATGTGCATCATCTGCTAACAACTGGGCAAAGGATACTGTAGGCAGCAGGTCTTCGAATTTAAAAGATAAGAAATATTTTTCTCAGTAAGTTGTGACCTCTTTTAGGTGGTGGAGGGTGGACTTTGCAGAGTCTGGCAGTTGTTTTGAGGTATTGTTGAATTTGTCTTTCATGAGTTAATTTTTTAAATGAAGAAATTAAGTACTTGATAAAAAACTTCAAATGTATATCTGAACCCTAAGTCCAACCTTCTGAGCTGCATTTTTTCCCAAATTCGGTGTCAACATGCCCCATATGGTAAGAGCTGACTCTCACTGACACTGAGAATGCAGTACATACAGTTACTGAGGAGAAATGTGCTTTGCAGTATGTCCAGTCATCAAGGGAGTTCTCTGCAGATCTCCGTCACTCTGGGTCTGCATGGAAAATTGCCTTTGCTTGGAAACCAGGGTTTTGGAGGAGTATAAGGCAGACTGGAGTATCTGCCCAGAATGGATTTGAGCTGTTCCCATCATATATCTCCAGACTTCTGATGGGAAGCATCTTAAAATAGATGGAGCCAACATCTATTATGATCTGCTACCACATTTAACTGCATCCAACTGCATTTTGCACTTAACCTGGTATCAATTAAATAGTGAAAAGTTTGTGCCTCATTCTATTGAACTGGATGCTTCCAATGACTGGCTTTAAAAAGAATCCAGCACCACAGACCATGAACTGGCATGGCACCAATAGATTTTAATTTTTTTTCTTAGAATTAAGCTACAAAGGCTATATTTTTCTTCTTACACAGTGGAAGTATTTCTCTGTGTGGTTGCAATGATGCAAGCTCTACATCTGTTCAGGGTTTAAAATAGTTTGAGAAGACAGCAGTTGTTTTCTTCAAGAGGATAAATTAGTAAATTTTAATTTAAAAGTGGAGGAGTAATACATGTTTGATGTGATCATTAAGAAACTTTCTATACTTGAAAAATAAAAATCATGTTTTACATGTAGCTCGGGTAATTTTAGGCGGCAGTGGTTTTTAGCTCATCATCTTGCTTTTGCCTGCAGAAATAGCTTGGAGGTGGAGGGATTGGGGTGGTAAAGGCCAGTGGCATTCGAGATCATTTCTTTTGCAGTTTTCATCATGCTGTAGAGAGTTTCTTTACACTTAACTCACTTAGAGTGACATTGCTAAGATCCCTTTGCATTTTTTATGTACTCCTTGTAAATAGCTGTGGGGCAAGAAATTGCTTTAGGCTTTGAATATTGATAACACTCATGGTACTTTGGAAAGATCCTCAGACATTCTTGTAAAAGTGGATTTCACCCACTCCGTGTAATGTAACATCTTTGTGGCCCAAGAACTTGGAATTTTGAGGACTCTGTTGCTAATGATATCTGGGAAACATTCATCAAACTATTCTTTAAAATACTTTTTTTGTACTCATCTAGAAGATGCAACAAAAGAATTCTCAATGTTTTTCCTTCTCTCTGCAGTTTTTATGTCCTATAATCCAGGTTCCAGAATTAAGCTCACTTTATTAGTCTCTCTTTTGAGCAATTCCTCTGATATTTTCAATGTTTGTGTTCTTTTTTAAATCAGGTCACATCTCCAAATGTAACTGGCAGCAACTGCATCCTCATAACTTGAGCACTGCTCAACAGATTTAGGGCAAAATCAACTGGATGAACTTAAATTGCTTGATTACATGGAAGCAGACCCTTAAGTGGGCATAAAACAGAGTAAATGCTTGGTCTCAAAGTGAAACGCTGTTGCACAAACTAGGAGAGGTGCAATAGTCTTTGAATCATGGCTAGTGCTCCTCCTTTGGTATTTCATCCAGACCACCAGTGAAATGGGGACAAAATATTCTGCTGAACGGGTAGTTGTAAATGCCTTTACCTGACTGAATCAGTTGCACTTAACAAAATGAACATTTGAGGCAAATATTAAATTTGGTGTGTTTTTTTTTTTTTAAAGTATTAGAGAAGACAGAAGTAGTACAGGCAGTCTGTGCATCTATGAGGAGAATACTGATGTTTTTTAAATCATACAGAAAGCTCATCTAGGAATCAAAAAGAGGAAAAGGAAGTATATACTAATATTTGAAGCTATGATCAATTGTGAAAGAAATTATGTGGTGTAAGACTTGACAAAAAAAGAGGTAAAAAGGTCATATTCATAAATAGCCTTAGTATCAGGAAAACAGCATGGTAGTAAAATATACCTTTTTTTTTTTTAAATAGTTATGGGTAGGAAAAATAAATGATGGACATTCATTTGAGTTTTTAGGGCTGGATTGGACAAATACAGAAAATATACACTATGAATCAATGTGTATTTTCTATCTCTTAACTTCTCCTGTTGCGTATTATCCCTTTCTTAAAGAAACAAACAAGAAACAATCCTAACTGCAGCTTTCATGTCTAGGATGCAGAGGAGTTATTTTATGAGCTGGATTCTCACCATTCATTGTCTGCTAGTTGCAGAACCCACACATCACAGTGCTCTTTACTTCTGTTTGTGCTGGAGAAAACATACATATGGAGATAATTGTAAACGATCACTCTCCTAAGAGAATGAGCAGCTGACTGAGCTATGTGTAGCACCATGACAGCCTTCCCTCAAGGCACTTAATTGCACACCATGAAGAAACTCAGTTTTTTTGACATTTTTTCAATTTAAATTGAAATTCATGTGCTGCAGTGAATATATGTTTATTCAATAATGTGAATATATAATCATTCGATATACAGTGAATATATATACATTCAGTAATGAATGTAAAACAGCCTAGTTTATGCTGATGTATGAAAAGATGTTGTTTCAACATAAAAATTAAGCTCCCGAACAAACTCTTTTTTCCCATTTCTCACCCAACAGTTTTTATTTATCATTATTTTGATATAGCATCAAGTCATATTTTCCCTTTGAGTTTAATGAGCATTCAGAAAGGCTTTGTCATATAGATACAGGCATTTTACAGGACCTATTCTCAAATTATGGATATTAGTATAAGCATGCAATCAAGGCATGAAACAAACTCAAGGATTACATTAGGATGTGTTGGTTCTGTAATGTTTAATCCTTAACAGATCATCTTGCAGATTTTCTGCCCTTCTCTTGATCTAGCAGGCGACCACTCTCAGTGGGAATGGGAATTGGATCTGTACCTACTTTTGAAAGTTTTACCTTAAAAATTAGTTAAAAAGCCAAAAATAGTTCTGATTCACCCAACAGTATACAAGTCTTCTCGGGTGACCGGGAATGTAGTCTTTGCTCTGATGAATTAAAGGCTGACAATCCAGGCTTAGAATTGTGCATGTGTTGTATTCCCTAAACCAGTGGTTCAAAACTAGCAAGGCTTCAGAACAACGATAAATTGCTCGTTTTGTTGCCGAGCTGTTGCCAGCTTACTCTTTGACACAGTTTTTATGTCTGCATTTCTGCGTTCTATTGCTGACCAATTAAAAAAAACCAAACCAACAGACTATTTTTCACTTTGACATGGATCTCAATCTCTAACTGTCTATAGGTTTGGGGGGTTTTTATTTAAGAAAAGGCAAACAAAAAACCAGTTGCAAAGACATATTAATGCTTTACGGCACAGCAATTGCCCAAGTTCCTCAGTCTATTCACTCATAGGGTTGAACATAATGTTCAATAATTTATTTCCCACATCACTATAATGGTGGAGGAGGAGGAGGCACACAGTTTCTGTGACAGGGAGAACAAGAGGACCCTGGCATGGGAAAGGGAAAATTGGGACTGGGTGGTAGGAAGTTAGACTTGTGCTGTGGTTATAGGGTGAAATCAAAGTGAAGGGAAAGTGGCCTAGGAGGAAAGTGTGAGGGAATAACATCACTGGTAGTGGGTAGGAAAGGTGGGAAGATGCAAGGCACCTCCCCTGTGATCTGAGGGATGGTGGGAAAGAAATGGAGAGTCTGGAGAGTTTCAGCAGGGATGCATTTAGGAACTGAATTTGGGATACAGTAAGTGCTTAAATCCATATATCTGGTAGGCTTAGTTGTAGCCTCTGGATGCCCACTTACTCTCCTGCCAAGAGTTCAAGGGTCCTAGGATAACTCAGGTTAGAAGGCACCTTGGAAAGTCCCTAACACAACCTCCTGCTCACAGCAGGATCAGCTTGGAGGCCATCCAAAAAGAAAGGAGATGGCAGGGAGTATGTGTTGGCCATTTAACATATTGTCTTTACCTTTTCTGGAGGAGTTAAAGCCTTAAGCAGCTGAATGCACTTGAGGCTGAGTGGAAGCTCAAGGGAGTTAAGGAAGAGGAGCAGAACAGCTGGGAGGGCTATGCATTTCTCACTGGGTTCCTGGGATACACTTTGGTGTCTGCCATTTATCCTACCAGCCAAGGAAAGCTGCAAAGCCATCAGAATTGAAAAACTGAAAACACCAGCCTGCATACCTGCAACTCACAGGCTCCCTCCATATCCCTCCTCCCAGGCCCACCTGGTTTCTTTGCTTTAACTTGATCCATCCCTACCTCAAAAATTGCAGAATATGAAAGACTATCCGAAAGCCAAACTTGGGAGCTTAAAACCAAGAAAATTAAGAAAATGAAAGTAAATTAAAATATCATGTTAGCCAGCGTGTTCTCTTGGCTGTGCTACTGTAACTTGCTTAAAATTCAGCCCTGGAGGTAATAGCCAGAGTTTGCCAGGCTTCTGATCAGTCATGTATGTCTTCTAGCATCTCATCAGGTCTGTGTAACCATTCTCTGCTTCTTCTCTTAGATTTACTCCCTTTACTTTTCTCCTTCACTGGAATATATATGGAGCATTGGCAGTTTATTCACAGGGACAGTTGTCTTTTGTGTTCAGAGTATCTCCCAGGTCTTACTCTCCTCACCCTGATGTTTCACCTCCGCTACTACTTCAGTTTTTCCTCTAATACCAGATGGCCTAATATATGTTCTTCAAACCTCTGCTATTTTTAGATTCCTCTACATATTACTTTACATCATAAAGAACATTAATTATACATACATTCTGTTAAGCTCATGTTCATTGGTGCATTACCAGCTATCTCTGGAGAAAGAGCTGGCTGCATTTGAATGCATTATTAAAGTGGATGACAGGCTGAGTGACAAGTTTCATTATCTGGCTCCATTCCTGTACCTCCTTGTGCCCACTGCCAGCCTCAGAGGTTGTGATCCCCCCAAGCTGCCATTTGTCATCTGCAGTGTATTGAGCTCTGAAAATCTGGGCATAACTCATCTCACCCTAGATTGAATGCCAACAGTGAATTGAACCCTAGATTACATTTGCTAGATCTGTGCTGAATGCAGAGAGCCCAGATAAGGGAGTACTCAAAGAAAAAAAAATCACTGAGGTATCAGTGATTTAAGCAACAGGTCTTTGCTGTGACACTGACTGCCTAGGTGGGTGGGCTGAGGTGGGATTTGGGAAAGCTATGAAAGCAGGGCGACAGAGCAGTAATTAATTCCTGCACTGTCTTGGATGATGCTACATCTTTCCTGGTTTTTGTCCTCTCTTTTTTTCTAAAGCCAGGTAGTTCTGCTATTACCGGTGTTGCCTGGATACCACCAATGTCTTTGCTCCAGCAAAGTTGTCACTGAAACATTGAAGAAAACTGTGTCAAGCACCTTACTTTCTGTGAGGCATTTTCAGTTGAAGATTCCTTTATTGCACTTATTAATTTGTATAGATCTCCATCACTCTTGATAGTTTAACTTTAGACTTCTGCTAGATCTGATTTTCTGCTGACTGGATAATACAGATGTGATGCTGAACTCCATTTCTCTGTTTATGTCTTGGTATGTACCTCTCCAGATTTATCTAGAGTACATCTACTAGCTAGTCACAAATTAAATTTTCCATCAGAACAATAGAGGTAATGATGCAAAGATAGTTGCAAAAAGGTTGAAATGTTGTTTCAAGAATAAAACAATAATTTCATGTTGTGGGCAGGAACAGTGCCCTTGTAACAGCATCCCGTGACTTAGGCTCAATGTGTGCCTTCACCATTCCTCCTGGGCAGAGACTTTCTTTGAGGTTTCTAAATGAATCCAACATCACTGATGCACCTCTCCCAAAGGACTTTCCTCATCTCTTTTACATAGGAGCTATCCAGCTTCTTTTGCTTCTTTTTAGAGGTAGATGCTCTAATGTTGTATGCTGGAATGGAGCCATCTCTCCCAGGTGGCCAACATTTTAAGTTCAAACTCCTTCTTTCCTCTCTAGCACATGTCCACATTGGGTTGCTTATCAGAAATCCTGGCCCTACCACCTGTCCGCTGCTTCCCATCCTAAACGGGCGGGGCTGGGAGCTGGCAGAGGGCAGATGCAAGAGCTGAACAAGGGACAGAGTTTTCCAGGAAATGGGGCATCATTTCCAGAGCTCACTTCTGATTTTCTCCTTCCTCAGTACAAGTCCCTCTGGAAGAGCATGGGCAGTGCTTCCATACGGTACATATGTGAGGCTTTCTACTTGTTTGTTAGCAGACATCATGACCACTCTATTAGTTCATATTCAATGCTATGCTTTTGCAGTGGCTTTCTTCCTCTCAATTGTACTTCAGTTACTTTACTTATAAGCCTCTAAGAAGCAGGATTTTATTGCTCCATGATGCAATGTGCCCTGAGCAAGTCCGTATAGTTAGTTGGTAGCAGAATGGGGAGTGAAACAGTAAGGCTGATTGGTGCTTTTTCCTGACGTTTCAACATATGACTGAATCAGAGCAGTTTAAGCAGTGTCTGCTTGGGAGATGGGAAGTGTATTGCATCTTTTCAACCATGTAAGAGCCTGCTGGATATATCTGAAATATTACAAAACCTGAGCGTTAGTTGGTTGTAGGAATGGACTCCTGGCTGTTTATATCATGATATGGTGCAACAACAATAGTTATAAGATATATTTAAACTTGGCCCAAGGCAGCTTTTTGGTATAGCACTTGATATTATAACATATATATATATACACACATATATGAAAGGTCTTTATATTTCTATTCTAGGTAGTGCATTTATTTCTGTCTTTTTCCTAAAGAAGACCATGAGGACTGCTGATATATTGGGTAAGTAAGCATTTGCTAATATGGACATGTGTGCTGCCATATGCTTAGTAAGCTGTAACTCTCACATAGCCCCCCCCCCTTCACACTCCCACTTTCCCGAGCAAGTGTTTCAAGGCAGATACTTTCACAATTGGGAAGAAGTGATAAAAAGAGAGAGAATCTTCAGTGCATGAGGAAAAGACTGCATTCCCAAATCCTCTGCTCTTACAACCATAACTCATTCCTTATGTGTCCTTACTGCTCAAATTTATTTTCATTTTCTGTTTTTGCCTCTGAGGTTGTCTTTAGTATTATCTTTATGAGTACAACACAGTTTTAATAAAAACGGGGAAGTTATTGAGTTACTCATTCAAATATAAGATTTTTTTTTCTTACTGCATAGACCTTGCCCAAAAATTCAAGCTCAATTAAAAGTGATAACTTCCATTTAGGTATTAATTTTATCACATCAAAGAACAAATAATCATGTTGCCAAGTGTTTTGTTGAGAAATGTGGTCTTCACTGTAAAAGCATGCCAACTTTTTGTCTGTGTCCAAGATTTTTTTGCAGATCAAAACTACCCACCTTGAACATAGCAATACTGAGAGATAAGCACATTTCAAGATTTGGGCTTTACACCAAGCCATCTTAGCTGGGGCAGCACACCTGATGCAGGGCACCTGATATTTCTGTGCACTCCTAACATCTCTAGGCCTGATTGTCCAAACTATACTGAGGACAGCTGTTCTTATGAATGTTTTGGAGAGATCTGTTCAGTATCATTCCAGGAATACTATATACTATTTATTTAGGTTTGGAATCCAAGTTTGCCAGCTCAGCTGCTACATTCAAAACTCCCCCTCCCTTCACTGATCATGTTTCCCTTATGGCCTTATACACTGTGTGTTGCTTTAACTAGTGTTCAGCACTGATTTATTTTATTTCTGTGAGTTTGACTTTGCAAGAAGGATTTAACAATGTCGCTACATTCCATAGGAATGAGCTGTATGATGGGAAATATGGTGATGGTTTTGCAAGCACATAAATATAGAACAGTTCTGCTTTTCCAAAGGAACTGTGGGAGATAACAGTGCCAGCAAAGCCCTCCGGATGTGCTTTGTTTTGTATTCCTGAGCCTTGTATTCCACACCAATTTATAGGTTTGCCAAGAATTTTAAAGATTACTTGAAGAAAAATTGATTAGCTAATATCTTCCTTAATCCAATACAGTTTATGAGCTCAGGATCAGCTCACTTATATCTTGATACTTCAGTGAACATCTGTGTTTGTCAGCTGGATGTCCTCAAGGCAGAACTTCCAGATTTTTATTAAAAGTACAATAATGCAAGTTTGACCTTGAAAAGGGGCCCTGGCAACCTGGTGGCTGAATAGTCTTTGGAAATCAACGTTTTATAAAACAGTTCATAGGCCTGCAAATACAACAGGGAGTGGCCAAAATGTTGGCCTCATGACAGCTTCACATAAGCATTGGACTGGAACATATGTGTTGCATCTAATGTTTCCAGGGCAGGTTGATGTCTGGTGTGGATCTTAGTGGCCACACTGACTTTGGGAGAGTTATGTATGTTTATGCTGGTTAGTGATCTAGCTGACTGCACCAGTAAGCAATTTGTCCTTTCAGTTTAGGCTAAGTTTATGTGATGTGCTTTGTGCCTGTGAGAAATACAAAGAATTGATTCTGCTTTGTCATACCCTTGGTTTTAGAGTTGAGAATATTTGAAAATGCTTTGTTGAGTTGGAACCCAAATTCACAAGGCTTTACTGACAACTTTTTTCACATTTCCAAAATTCTTTGAGTCTTTAATAAAAATTAGAGTAGATAAGACCACAAATGCAAGACAATCCAATTACCTAAGCACAGATCTGCTTTAACGGACTTCAATGTTCTTCTAGAAACTATTTCCAAATCATCTGGAGAGCAAGGATGACCATGATTGCCAAATACTATATTACCAAAATAATGTATCCTTTTCTTTAAAGGTGGAACACTGACAGTAACAGGGACATACTTGTTGGTGACATTTGCTCCAAATGTACCTCAAGAGCTCACAGCAAGACAAGTACAGAATTACTTAGTGAGCTGGCCTTTTTTGGTATATTCAGTGAGTATCTGATTCTTACTACTCCCTAAATCAGAAAAACTGGTGTTATGGGGCCTTTAACAGCATTATGAATTAGTGGTAGAAAAACTGCTCATGGCGATAAATTGTGTGATTTTCATAAGAGAGAAAGTCCCTGGGTCATCATCCTTGTCCCCTGCAGCACCAGAAGGTGTCTTTTGAGCTACGTGCCAGGGGAAGGTCATAGTTCTGCAGGATTAACAAGAATGGAAAGATTTGGGGGTTTGGGGATATTGGGGGAAAACCTAAATATTGGTACTGCTTATATTTCCTGTGTATGTGTTCATGCCACTCTGTCTGCATGTACAGCTAAGTTACAGGGCTTTTCTGGAATGTGATGGAGTTGTGCTTTTAAAAAAAGGCTATGCAGGCTCTTGGTCCTGCTTTTTCCATTCTTATCACTCTGATTTATCCCCATGTTGTTAAGCCTGGCTGAAAGGAGCTTTGTATGGAGTTGAGATGTGAAGAGGTGGCCTGCTTTAACCTGAGTTAGAATTCAAATATAAAAATACCATTTTGATTAAAGTATCTGTGTACAAATTTCAAATGCCATATGTCTTCTTTGATGTATTTAATTAGCATCAGAAACAAGACCAGAGAGTGTAGGAGGAATTTATGTCTCTCTTTTCCTCTGGAAAGTTGAAAATGTTTTCCTCTAGCTGAATGTAAAAGATGCAATACAGGAGCTTCAGAAGCAGTTACTTTTTTCCCAGTAAAGTGACTCACTTGAATTAGATTCTTAGTGCCCAGGCTTTTCTTGGTAGGATGCTCAGTTAGAAAGCCAATGAGGAGACAGTTTAAGGACCTTAATCTTTTAGCCAACCTGCAGATTTTACATACATCTAACTATCCATGGGACTACTGATTAAGCACAAATTACATGCTACCATAAAAAAAATGTTGATCCTCTCTTTCAGTTTGTTGTGCATTTTAAACTCTCTTTCATTTTTTGTGCATTTTAAAGATCCTGAAAGATGATGATACAGCTCAATGGAAGAAATTAATGTTCATGTTGTATAAATCACAACATGCACTTTCAGTCAGGCAGTAGAGAGGCTTTTGAAAGCAGTGCCCAAGAGTTTTGGGGTACTCAGTAAGGCTCACTTCAGCCTCCACAAGAGCTTCAGCAAGTCCATGAAATCAGCACACCGAGAGGGACTTCTTTAGGAGAGGGTTCAGAAGAGGGATCTCAGTGCTCACTGGAGGACCCTCTCTCTTTCCTACTGAATATCCCCCTCTACCATGCAGTTTCACCTTTAGATGATAAAGTAGCCTGGCATTTTAGGCACTGATTTTAAATTGTTGATTCACCCATTTGTATAGAAATGGTGGAGAGAGAAAACTCCCCATTCACACCCAGTAACACCAGAAATTTCTGGGTGACATGCCATTCACATTTTTTTGAAACCAACAGGTTGCTGGAAAAGGGCTTTTCCCCATCTGAGGACTTTTTTGACTTTGTTTTAGAAAAGTTTGTAAGAACACAACTGAATGCCTAGGAAGACTGTGCTGTATTCTTCTTAGAAGACATTATGAGGAAGTGATAGGTAACTTCTGGACTTTCTTTCCCCTCTTTTCTTTTTTCCCTGCCTCAACCAGCATCTAATTTTATATGTACAGCATGGGTCGTAGGGAGGGATGGAGTAAGTACACAGCAAATCTTGTTGAATCAACAATATATCAATCTTTATTTGTTCCTTCTGCTCCCTGGATTCATCTGTGTTGGGCTTCTTCTCTCCAAAGAAAAGGGAGGGAGGAGTGAAAGGTTCCACAACAGACTGTGAGATACCAGACTGATTATCCTTGTATGCTGCTGGAAAATCAACCAAACCATGTTGTACACATTCTCTTTGGGCAGGGAGCTAGCTATTCGTCATCATCATCATCATCATCATCATGGCTAGGCTTCGTGAACGAAGATTTGGGAAGGGCTCTACCCACGTTTCTTGCAAGCGCGTTGGTGGCTAAAAAGGCCAATACGAGAAAGGCATGTCCGGTTGCAAAAGACACAGCAGAAAGACTCCTTAGATGGTATATTCTGTAAGGCTCGATTCTTTCTGCGTTGTCTTTTCTCCTCAAGGGTGATCCTGCATGCTTTCTCAAAAGCATCAGCAGAGTTATAAATGGTTTGTCTCCAGGCCTCCCGATTAGAGGCCAGAGTAGACCAGTTATGGTGATCAATATGCCCGAGGCTGAGTTGTTGCTTCAGGGAGTCCTTGTATCTTTTCTTTGGGGCTCCTCTCTTGCGGCAGCCAGTGGCAAGTTCACCGTAAAGCAGGATCTTAGGGAGGCGGTGGTCCTTCATCCTAGAGACGTGCCCAGCCCAACGCAGCTGTGTTCTTAGCAACATGGCCTCAATACTTGTGATTGCTGCCTGTTCGAGAACAGATGTATTGGTCACATAGTCTGACCAGTGGATGTTTAGGATTGTGCAGAGACAGCGTTGATGGAAGCGTTCTAGAAGACACAGGTGGTGGCGGTAGATGACCCATGATTCAGAGCCATATAAAAGAGTAGACAGCACTATGGCTCTGTAAACACTGATCTTGGTACTTTTCTTCAAGTGTTTATTTCGCCAGACTCTTTTATGAAGCTTTCCAAAAGCACTATATGCCTTTGCTAACCTGTTGTCTATCTCCCCGTCAATCTTACCGTCCGAGGAGATGAGGCTGCCTAGGTAATTAAACTGTTGGACTGATTTGAGTTCTGATTGGCCGATGGTGATGTGGGGATGATGGAAGACTTCCTGAGGTGCCGGTTGATGGAGAACTTCAGTCTTCTTTAAGCTGACTTCCAGCCCAAAGAGCTCAGCAGCGTCTGCAAAACAGGATGTTAAACGCTGCAGAGCTGCTTCTGTGTGGGCGACAAGGGCAGCGTCATCAGCGTAAAGCAGCTCCCGGACAAGATGGTTTAGGGTCTTGGTGTGGGCCTTCAGTCGCCTTAGGTTGAATAGGCTTCCATCAGTACGATATCGTATGTAGATACCGTCCTGATCATCGAGGTCTGCCGTGGCCCTTTGGAGCATCATGCTGAAAAAGACTGTGAATAGGGTAGGAGCAAGAACGCAGCCTTGTTTCACACCGTTCTTTATTAGAAAGGGCTCAGAAAGTGTGTTGCCATATCTGACTTGGCTGTGCTGATCCTCATGAAGTGAGATTATCATTTCAAGGAACTTGGGGGGACAACCTAAACGTTCCAAAATCTGCCAGAGACCTTTTCTGCTCACAGTATCGAAAGCCTTGGTGAGGTCGACAAAGGTTACATAGAGACCTCTGTTCTGTTCCCTACACTTCTCTTGCAGTTGTCTGAGAACAAATATCATGTCTGTGGTGCTCCTGTTGGCTCTGAAACCACACTGACTTTCAGGTAGAATTCCTTCTGCTATAGCAGGTATTAGTCTGTTCAGGAGTATTCTTGCCAGGATTTTGCCAGCAATGGAGAGCAGAGTAATACCACGGTAATTTGAACAGTCTGATTTGGTACCTTTCTTCTTATACAAGGTGATGATGACTGCATTGCGAAGGTCTGAAGGTAGTTCACCTAGTTCCCAACAGCGCACCACAAACTCATGAAATTTAGCATGGAGTGCAAGGCCCCCATGTTTCCAGACTTCGGGTGGAATTCCATCAACCCCAGCTGCCTTGCTGATTTTCACCTGCTGTATGGCCTTGAGGGTTTCTCCTAAAGTGGGGGCAGTATCCAATTCGTATTTCACCGGTAGTTGTGTGATGGACTGAATTGCTGAGTCTTGTACTACACGGTTGGTACTGAAAAGAGTCTGAAAGTGTTCAGACCATCTATTCAGAATGGAGGTTTTATCTGTCAGAAGTGTTTGACCATCTGCACTGAGTAATGGGCTTTGGACTTGGTATGTAGACCCGTATGCTGTTTTCAGGGCCTCATAGAATCCTTTGTGATCCCCTGTATCTGCACATAGTTGAGTTTTTGCAGCTAGATCGGTCCACCACTTATTCTGGATGTCACGGAGTTTCTGTTGGAGCTTGCTGCATGCAAGATGAAAGGCTATTTTTCTTGCGTGACAAGATGGCAGTGCAAGGTGTGCTTGGTGGGCAGTTCTCTTCTTCCTCAACAAGTCCTGGATTTCTTGATTGTTTTCATCAAACCAGTCCTTGTTCTTCTTGAGGGAGAACCCTAAGGATTCTTCAGAGGATTGCAGGATGCAGCTTTTAATATGATGCCAAATTGTTTCAGGGGAGGAAACTGCAGAATCTGTGGGATGGTTTTCGAGCCTAGTTTGAAGGTTTGCCTGGAATCTGTCTCTTACTGTGGCTGATTGGAGATCGTTAACTTGGAGTCTTCTCCTTGGGATACTACCCCTTTTGGGTTTGAATTTGAGATTAAAGTTGAGTTTACAGCGCACAAGCCGATGGTCTGTTTGGCATTCTGCGCTGGGCATCACGCGGGTGTGGAGGACATCGCTGACATCTCTCCGACGCACCAAGACATAATCAATGAGGTGCCAGTGCTTAGACCTGGAGTGCATCCAGGTTGTCTTCAGACTATTTTTCTGCTGAAAGATAGTATTAGAGATGGTAAACTGTTGCTCCGCACAGAATTCTAGCAGAAGTCGACCATTATCATTGCAGTTTCCAACACCATGCTTGCCTAATACTCCTTTCCAGGCTTCAAAATTCTTACCTACTCTGGCGTTGAAATCACCAAGGATAATGATCTTATCACCTGCGGGCACCTTTTGGGTAAGGCAGCGCAGGTCAGTGTAAAATTTTTCTTTTTCAGCAGGGTCAGCTTGGAGAGTTGGGGCATATATACTGAAGATGACAACGTGTTGCTTGTTGTTTAGTGGAAGGCGTAGGGAGATAATGCGGTCAGAGTGACCTGTCGGCAGATTTTCGAGTTTAGGGACAATAGAGTTTTTGATCATGAAGCCGACACCTGAGAGATGTTTTTCGGTTTTGGGCTTACCTGACCAAAAGAGTGTGTAACCGGCACCATGTTCTCTGAGGCTGCCTTCCTCGTGAAGGCGAACTTCACTGAGAGCAGCAATGTCGATGTTGAGACGAGCCAGTTCATGGGCAATTAGGGCAGAACGTCGCTCAGGACATCCGCTATTCGCAGAGTCGAGCATGGTTCTGATGTTCCAGCATGCGAGAGTTAATTTGGGTACACCTTTGGAGGCAGGTGCATGCCTTTGTCTTTTGCTCTTTGTGCGACCGCATTGGAAGAAGATGCCCGTTGGTCTGCGGTTAACCAACCGGGTGAAGGTGGAGATGAGCTTTGTTTAGGCCACTTTTTCTAGGCCCCTCTCCGAGTGGAGCAAGCAGTGCTGTCCTTGAAAAGGCTGCTTGGTCGTTCAGGGTGCTGCCCCAAGAGACTCTCATCTCCGTCAGTCTCAAATGACCAATATCCTGAACTGCCTGCATGCAGGGTTGAGTCTGCGGCTCCCAGTGCATCTTTCACCTACCGTTTCGACCCTCGCCCGTCGCTGCAGGACTTTTTGCATGTGGGTAAAGCCTTCAAGCCTGCCCAATGGATTTTTTAGGTGAGATGCAGTATGCGCGGAACTGAACCCACCCTTTAATCCTGAGGTTCATCTGCCAGGGCCGAGCAAGCTTGGACAGTGGCAGCGAGGTCCTCAGGACGTAGGTTTGATTAGAGTGACCTTCTCTTAGATGGATGGCCTCACAGGGCTAAGCGAGCTCCATCTGCCCGGGTAGCTATTCATAATTGTTTGTAAAATGCCTAGCACAGGTTGGCTCTTGAGATACAAAAAAGTGCAGCAGAAGTTGCAGAGTTTTCAGTATAAATATATAGGGAGGAGACAGTTCAGAAGTATAATGCAGTCCAACAGTCTTTCTAAAAGTAGCCCCAAAGTGTTGTCTGCTGAAAAATACAAAGCCCCAATGGTACAAAATGTTCTTTGTGGGTGGTAAAACCATCCCTACGTGGCACTCCACTGGCATATTGTGCAGAAATAGCCTCCAATTCCCTCAAGACAACTTTGAGTCACCTTCTGAGACTTTGCACTAGCCTAATCATGTCTGAGCAAGAATGACTAGCTTAGCTTGTTTTTCTCTCTTTTGCTTATGTGCACTTTGAGTCGCTACAGATAGCATAAATTATAGAGGAAGCTCTTAGGTTTCCCTAAACAGAAGCATAGTAACTATTGGGTTGTTAATATTTAATCTCTGCAAAATCAGGTTCAAAGCATTTCTGCTTTTCTTTCAAAGTGCCTAGAAGACCCTCCTGGTTCATTGGTCCTTATGTTGCTGTATATGCCAGGAAAACACTTGAGGCAGACAGTGTGGTGTTTTGTTCTGGTGCCTTCTGATAATGCTCAGAAAGATGAAAAACACGATTATAAAAAAGTGTTGATGAGATGAGGACTTGAGGAGACTTCTGTAGAGGTTAGTTACAGCAGCCAAGATCATTGTAAACAGGTCACGTTCCTTCAATTCCTCTAAACAGAATATGTGAAGCTGATATAATCTATGCACTTCCCATTCCTGGAGTTCATATTTAACACTGCTACAGCTATGAGAGCAAGCACTATTTTGGGTAGTTCTCAGGAGACAATCATAGGCAACAGCTGAGGCACCCCAGGAGGGCTCCTGTCTGTTAGGAGCCATGCACTCTGCTTGCAGTGTGACTTAATTGTCACAGGTTCTCCTTTGTCTTGTGATTAAAGGTGGCCTGTTGGTGGTTCATCAAGTGGCAAAGAACCATGGAAGAATAGTTTGGTTGCTGGGTGGCACTAGGTGAGAACTAATGTTTGAATTTCATGCTTAGTAGGTGAGACTTGACAGAGCTGAATAAACTTAAATAGCAGCCCTGAAAAGCAAACATCATTTTTTTTCCCTAGGTTTGGCCACAGGACTGCCATCTCTGTCCCTACACCAATTCTGCTCTTAGGGCTTCCTCAGGAGGCAGAAGCAGACATGAACACAGATCTGTGCACCTCTTCAAGAGCTGCCATCAGGGACTCTTACGTCCTTTTGATCATTTTTCTTGGCTGTTTTCTTTCCGGAGTGAGTCTTCTTGGTGGGTTTGTTTGCTTTTAAGCAAGATGAGATCACAGTGGAGTTTTATGGTAGCTTTAGCAAGAGAAGAGCTGATGACAGGATGAGGATCAACAGAAGGCTGATGGACAGAGCCTGCTGTGGTGTCCTGGTTCAGTCAAGGCTTGTGCTGCTTGGCAATACCTGCCAGTCAGGGGGTAGGAGTGAGGTGGAAGAGGGAGTGGAATGCCAGAGCTGCTGCCATGGAACAGTTTGAGCCGGTGACTGTCCCTTGCCTTGGTTTTGGATAATTATTCTTGCATAGTTTGAAATCTAAGTGACAAGGCAGATGATGATGCTTCTCTTGCTGGGATCATCTAGAGGACGTAAAATGAATCAGTGTATGTTTAGTTGGCTGCCTGCAGTAGGGTTGTGTCATGGGTTTTTGTACACTCTATGGCAACCAGACCAAGGGTGAGGTAACTGGTGCTCAGGTTTGCCCTGGCGGGGGAAGCAGATCTCACAGTGCTGTGTCACCTGGTGCCATCGCACACCATCCTGTGTGCCAGTCCTGGACTTGTGTGTCATGGAAAAGAATGCCTAAGACATCTCTGGAACTCCTTTCTTAGCCTGGATATCTTTCTGAGTGAGGAGTATTTATTTAGTGCATCTTTCTTCAGTTCTGTTATCAATTTTTCACTATCAAAATAGCAATTGAAGCTATTTGGAGGTTGTTGTAGGTGCAGCCTGATAATGTGGTATTCTGCGCTGGCCCTAATATGTGTTTGCCAGTGGCATGAAGAGCAAATCTGCTAACCTTTACTTCTTCTCTCAAGTTCCCTCAAAGCCCTGTCACAGTTTTCCACAGGGAGGCCAAGATGAACTCACCTGTCTGCAGATCTTAACATGTATTCTGCCTTGGTTCCTGATTTAGACATACCCATTGTTGCACTGTTGAATAAAGCTGGGGAGGCTGGCCGAGTTCCTTACTGTGAGACTGAGACTTCTCTTTCTTTGTGCTGTCTCAAAGGCTACCAGGCTTCTGAGCACTTTTTGGTGCAAAAGTCCATCACCCCTGTTTTCATAAGTCTGCTGGGCCTCACAGAAGCTTTATGGCTCTTGCACTTGTTGCTTTCTTTAGGCATAGAGGGGGAGAATACTCACACTTTTGAGATGGCAAAAGGCAAGAGTTACTGAGGGAATCTGCAGAGACATATTAACAGCAAGTCAGTAAATTTAGCTGTCTGTCATTTAGCTGTCATATGTTATTGAAGGAGCAAAACCAGACCATGCATGGTGTAGGTAAAGCTGCTTCAGCAGCTGCAATTGCAGCTGCAGTGTGGTCTGGTGTGCCATTGAGATTTGCAAGGTAAGCTTCTGTCAGGTACCTTTGATTTGAGAACTACTATGTGAAATAAATGCTTTCCTCCTTATGATGTATGGCAGAAAATTTGAACAAAATTTTGAGGAGAGTTTTTAGTAGGAATGGTGAGAGGGGCAAAAAGGGTAGGATAAATGAGCTTGCACATGGCAAAGAGTGACACTGAAAATATCATAGCTAAAACTAGAGACTACTCTATCTTTAGTTAACTGCTTTACTCCATAGGAATTATAAACGGAGTTTCTGTAAGAATTATTACAATAAATATGGGTACCTTTGCTGTCACATTAAAAAAGTCTTCTTAACATTACCAGTGATAAAATATAGATAGAAGTGCAAAAAGAAAAACCAAAGAAATAAGAAATGCTCAGTTTTAATTTTGCTATAATAGGAAAGATAAATGACAATAATTGTTTGATACTCAGTCAACTGGCAATAAAATTATTTTTTAGCAGAAGGTGCAATGAAAATTGATGTGACATCTCAGACTTTGAATGAAGCATTTATTACATAGTTTCACAGCTCTAACTTTCTTCTCTTTTATTTTCAGATCTTAGAAATTTTAATATTCTGCATTCTTCTCTATTTTTACAAAAGAAAGGCTGTGAAACACATCGTCGTTTTGTTAATGATGGTAGCGCTACTGGGTAAGAACAAATTATTTACTTTAATGTTCCTGTCTGTTACTTGATAATTCCTTGTCACTCAGTCTCTCAGCTAGTTTAGATTGGGGCCATTTCAAAGCAGCGTGCTGAAGGAGAAACATTTGAAACATTTCACATGATTTTTACTGGGGTCTCTTTTTGGAGAAAAAAGCTGATTATGAAACATAGTTTCTATCCTTATTGATGGGAATATTTCTTTTTGCAGATACCCTGAAATTAATATGCTGTGTGGAATGGTATTCTGAAGCTTTTTTATAGATAACACTTAAGGTTTAGATCCTGGGAAAGTGGACTGTTTGAAACTTCGTTTTGGAGAGCAGGGTGTGAAAATCAGTTCTTTGAAACAGAGCAGCTTAAGACCTTGTAAGCACTCCTTAAACAAATGCAGTGATATGCTGTGACTGTACAACGACTTTTCTTTGAATTATCGATGACTATTATCTATGTTGCAAATGCAACATTTAATATTTTACCACCTTTCCAGAAGCATAACAAGAACTCAGTGGGCCACTGAAGTTTGTGGGCCACTGTCACCACAATCAATAACCAGAGAAATAGGGAGGTCACTTTATCAGGTAGCTTTCAATAAAGTTAAATGAGAAATGTCAGGAGATTATCTCTGAAGCTCCACTGCTTATATTAAGAATTTTCACCACCCCATGTGACAAATTGTCCAGTCCTTTTCACTTCTCCATGAAAGCCTCATGGGACACCACAAGTCTTTGGTTGAAGTGAAAAGTGCTCGAACTGTGTCATTCAGGTAAAAGGTCGTTCTCTCAATTAGTTCAGTGAATGCACATATCAGTTTTCAAAGACTCATAAAGCACATTTCTAATGGAGATGATCGTGAGGGTTTTGATAAAATAGAATTTCACTAAGGTTTGCCAGGTACAAAATTTGGACTTGACTGAATGTAAAAAACTGTCACAGCTTTATTAACTATCTTCCTTCAGATACCTGAGTGGTTTCTTAGTCAGCTCAAAAGCTCAAACTTTCAGAACAACTTTTTGGGATAGTCTTCCCATATAGGTTTCCCAGCACTAGGAACATTAGGATCTGTAGCTCTGCAGAAGCATTGAAGGATGTCCACGCTCCCTGTATGAGGCAGAGATGGAAGAGCTCCAAAAGTCTTAGGTCTAACTGTTCCACTGCTCTTGGTTTGCAGGAGAGAAGTATGAGTCTAGCCATTCCCCAGCTCCTAGCACAGTGTGGGAGCTTTGGCAGAGCTCTCCTGAGCTGCTCTGCAGCTTCCAGCAGTGCTATGAGGAGTGTGAAGCACTGTGCACTCCTAAGCACTCCTAATGAGTGGATCGAACCCTCCTTGTTGCATGGGTGGAGGCCTGAAGATCTCCAGGTGGGCTCCTACACCTCCCTGCCACAGTTCTGGGCAGGCCCACCGTGATGGCTGCCCCAAGCAAGGTCAACACACGGCTCCAGGAAACCTGGGTGGTTCATCTGTGTAGCCCTGCATGCTTATTTTGCTGTGGAGCCTGCCAGCCCTGATGCTGCCAGTGTGAAAGGGACACATGGAGATGCTGAACAGCAGCAGGGCTGCAAACCTGTGCCCCGGCAGGCACTAACTGCAGCTTGGTAGTCAGGCTGCAAACAACCAAAAATACAATTTCAGCTGGTGGCTGCTGAGGTTTTGGTGAGCATATGCAGCTTGAGGAAAAATTTGTCATTACTTCTGCTCTGTTAAAAAAGACACAAATCCTGGTTTATGGGAAGTTCTGAAATACTGACATTTCCCTTGAAGATGAAATACAGGATTTCATCTGACTCTGGTTCCTGCAGCTGCACTGGTGCCTGGCAGTCCCCACAAAGCTACACCTAGAGCCTTCTCCTTGGTCTCCAACCTTTCTGCTGAGCAAAGTGATGGAGGGGTTGAGAAATTGCCCAGTAACTTTGCTCCCAGCTGTGACCTGCTCCCTGACATGTGACCCTTCGAAGGCCCTGCCTCCTGGAGGAGTAGATGAGGTTTCGGGTCCTGTTGGCAGCTTGGGCAAGGGGATTTCATCTTCTTCTATTCAGATACATTCCTAGTGGAGTGTTCATACAGATGTAAATTAAATATAGAAAGGTTTCTTTAAAGAGAGGGCAGCCCTTGTGTTTCACTGGATATGCAAGCTACTTTCATCATGAAGAAAATAGAGAGGTGATCATAAAATCTGAAAACATTTTGCTTAGTACAACTGCAAATTCATTTGGTGAGAATTATCTTACCTCATGTATATACTTGAGAGTTATCATAAGTTTGAGGGGAAATATTTCAGATTAAAGTGAGATTTCAGAGTTTTCTGCCCTAACAGCTGGAAAGTGACATCATTTGTTACACTAGCCTTGAGGAGAGGTCGTTACAACAGAGAAACGAAAACCATTTCCTAGGTTTTGAAACTTATTCCAGAGCTAATTTAGCAAAAAAGATCATTCCACTTTTCAAAGAAACTAAACCAACCAACAAAACAAACAAACGAACCCCCATGGTGCTTTCTTTTCTGCCTTATAAAAATTATAAGGCATGGAAACTGCCCTTTCATCAGAAAAAAAATTCAGGAATCTACTCTTAGGTGGACAGTTCAAACTACTGATTTTTATCTGTAAGTGTTCTTTTAAAATAATAGCTCCCCCATGTTAGAGTGCAAATCTTAATTTTTATGTGCACTGCTTGTTGGGGCTTGAGTGTATTTTTGACTTTGTATCATACCGTTTGCACTACTGCAGACCAGCATTTGACCTCTGCTCGGTGTTACAGCTGTGTTTGTTAAACCACTTCACCTGTTTCCATTACAGAGAAAGAAGTGAAGTACTTGGTGAAAATGTTGTTATGAAAACAGTGAATTTCATGGTGATGAACAGGATCATCACAAGATGTGTGCAACTCTTAAACTCTCCCTGAACTTTTGGACTTGCTATAAGAAAAATACTTACAATCAAAACCACAGACCTGAATTCATTCTTCTTCCCCCACCTTTTCTCCCAACCTTGGCCTGAACTTTTTGCACAGTGCAGGTCTCCTTGCCAATCTGAATGTTGCAGATACAGGAGGATGAATCAGACCACTGAAATCCAATACTCCTCAGCTCTGCACGAGGGTGGAACTGGATCCCATCTGGGGAACGATGCTCCTGACAATTAATTACCTTTCTTCAAAGGTCATCTCTGAAGCCTGACTCTTCTTAAAATTTTTAGTTTCTTTTGGATTTGTTACATTTTATTTGCAGTAATCACAGCCTACTTGGTTAGCTTCAACAAACCAATAGCACACTCCAAAAGAAAATCTAAAGTAACTCTTAGCTAAACTCTCAGCTCCTTTTCTAAAAGACCTGTCTTGCAAGACTTCTGTGAACTGCTGACATGTGTTAAAACCATTGCCTGCTGTCTGAGATTTGTTTGTGGTGATGCAATGAGAGTGATTCAATGGACTGACAACACACTACTGAAATATTCTGTTCTTTTGGCTAAGTCCCATAAATGTTCTTAAGAGCCCCACCCCTGAAACAAAGTGCAGACCCCTGTGTTGGTTGTCTGCCCTCCATACATAACCCATGGGGAGAGTAGGAGCTTTGGGATGTGATCCCAGAAGTCAGCTTTGGCGAGCTTTGGCTGGCTCCCATCTCAGCAGAGAAATCCTGAGGGTGAGAGTTATTTTAGGCTGCCAATGTCACATGCAGGCTGCTATTAAGAGGTGTCCTAACTGCTTTGAACAGATAACCAGACCTCTCAGACCTCTCCTGAATAATGCAACATGGGCTCCAAATTAGCAGCTGGAGCTAAGTAAAGTATGTCTAGAAGTCAAGGGGGCTGTTGTACCACCTCCAACTGGTAGTCCAGTGTGCTCCAAAAACTTGAAAGCAAAACACAAAGCACACATGGAGCTAAGGCCACTCTGGGTTTTGACGTAGCTTAGCAAGCATTTATAAAATGGTTTTAGGTGCCCAAATCCTACCTCAGTCTTATTTTAGGTAATCCGACCTCTGGCTCTGACCTGGAACCTTGTCCTCTCTCCCTCGTGCTCTGAGGTTACTGCAGTGAATCCTGCCCTGCTAATCTATCCCTTTCCCTTTCAGCATCAATGACTGTCATTGCTGTAAAGGCTGTGTCCAGTATGATAACACTATCTGTGAAGGGGAAAATGCAGCTAACTTATTCCATTTTCTATATCATGGTTGCTTTAATGGCAAGTTCTTGTGCTTTTCAAGTCAAGTAAGTGACCTTCTACTTATCTCCTAACCTTCATACACATTTTATCTGTGAGTTTTATTTAGTACTGATAATGATTCCAGATACAAGTTGCATTTTGAGGCAACAAATTCCTGGCAGAGCCTTGACAGATGCATTTATTGTCTCCAACTGATGGTATTGCTTATTTAGGCTTTATTTCTTAGTTTATTATTGATTGTTATAGATGCTACCTCCTCTCCTTATCACCTTCTACAAGGTCTTCCCAAGTTTGCTTGACTAGTTTTGGCACAGGTCTTAACTTATTAAATGAAATTTATGTTTATGTAATCTTTTGGGGGTTACTTTTAGAAATCTTTATTCCTGAATAGTCAAATGGCCATGTTATCCTCATTATGCATCTCTTCTCCCCAGCTTTATGTCACCAGTCAGACTGAAGAAGAGAGCTTATCTGAACTTTCTCCCTGCCTCTGTTAAATCTGCATGTTGCACTTTGCTATCCTGTATGTCTGTACCTTTCTAGGAAATAGTTAACTTTTGGTGTTCAGGGGACATCCAAGTTTTCCCTGCAGGCCTCTGGTCTGTTAAGGGATTGGTTTATGCTGCTTTCGCAGATTGCTGGGTATGGCAGCGTGGTAAAATATGTCTTACAGCTGAACAGAGTGTCTGTTTCCTTTATGCCTGTCCCTCTGCTTCAGGTGCTGATAGCATCATTCAGTAATCTCATCTAGACTGCTCCAGTGTGAGCCTGAGTATTTACTTGCATGATTATTTTCCGGTAGAAGAGCCAACCCAGCTTTTTCATGGCAGAACATACCATTCCCATGTGGAATCAGAAAGTCCATGCATTATTATGCAGTGACTCTCCATGGCTGACTCAGGAAATCCCCTGTAACAGATTATAGGGTGATTTACATCCAGCTTGGAAGAACAGCTCCAGGCATTTAAAATAGGAAATAAGAGTTTGGTAGATAGGAAGCTGCTGAATTAACCTCCATCTTTCCAGTTTTTCTTTATTTCTTTTGCTGGGCCAAAATTAAAACAGAAGTGAAATGTGCCCATTTCATTCCCTGGGCTGAGTCCCTTTCTCTCTTCTCTCTTGGATGTATTTTCTAATGGGGACAGTACTGTCAGTCTAAATTTTTCATTTTATTTGTTTCCTCTCTTATTTTATTTGATTGTCATGTGTTAGCTCAGAACAGCCTGTGCTGGAACAATCCCCTGGATCCAGTGCTGGGCCTTGGTATCATTGTTTTAGTTCCTGTGAGCAAGTTTGTTGCAAATGGGAGAAAATAATGAGGTGTTTTCAATGACTTCAAAATCCTGACTATCCTGTGGATATGTAGGATTTCTTTATTTTTAAAGCACCATGGAGACTGTTCAACAGTTGCTAAAATAACTATGCAATCGCTTTAATGGCTAAAACAGATCCAAGCTTGGATTTTTACTGTGCACATATATTGTACCAGTGAAACATTTAAATGTGGTTCTTTTTATAGGTTAGAATACGTAACAAAGTATATTCTGGTGCATCCACAAGTTCACACTCATGGTTCGTCACTCTATGGGTATATGTTGATAGCTGTGGTCTCTGTGAAAGTGCTTTGCCTTTTCGAGCTGATGATGCAGACTGTGCAGGCTACTCCATGGCCAGTTTCTTGACCCTGCAGGTCTGTGTGCAGTGTATGCTCCTGTGGTCCTGCACACTCTTGATCGTGAATCTGGTGAGGATTCATGTTGCCTTTCTGAAGAGGACAGCAGAGAGTTTCCAACCCAAGGAGCACAGGCTTGGAGCTATCTTCCTGGACTTTCCCAGCAGGACAGAATGTTTCTGGGGTGTGATTGCATGGATAAACATACAAATAGGTGTTTCAGCCAAGCTGGATCGAGCAATAGCAGCAACGTGGACTTCAGGAAAGTGAAACAGTTCCTACAAGAACTCACATGTTCATGTTTGTGCTGTAAATATACCCTTACACAACCTGTTTAAATTAGAGCAACTTGTCCCTGGCTGCTTGCAGGCAGCACTGCTTCCAAGAACCGATGCAGACCATAAGAAATAATACCCTAGCGTTCCTACCTTATCTGTGGCAGACAAAATTTTTCCAAAAATGTTTAAAAAAAATGTCCATTGATAGCCCATGGCCAGAAGGATTCACGCCAACTCTCTTGCGTCTTGTTTGTACTCTGCAGAGTCAAAACCAGAAAGTAAATTCAATACATGTATGCTGGTTAGGGCTATTGTGGTAAGAAACGGTCACGCTTATTGTTAAACTGACATGAGGTGGCTTAACCTGACTTAAAGTACAAGGAACCTCTTGTAGGCATGAGGTGTAATAATGCTTGTCTTGCAGGTTCTTGAATCAAGCAATGCATCTGTATGAAGCAACAGCAGTTGTGCCCATTAATTTTGTGTTCTTCACCACCAGTGCCATAATTTCAGGTTTGTTTCCAGCCTTCTGCCTCTACAGAATGATGTTCTAAACATCACGTTTTCAAGAATTACTACCTGTGAACAGGAACCCAAACCAGCCATGGTTTTTCTCTTCACAAAAAGTTTTTCCTAAGTCACAGGTGTTTAAGTTCTGAAAAATAAACAAGTTCACAACTTCTGAAGCAAAATAAATGGCAGGGATGTTGGAACTAGATTATCTTTAAGGTCCCCTTCCAACACAAACCTATTTTCTGTGAAAAACAGTCAAATTCTAGCTCTTCCAGAATAGATATGTGTGATTTACTGTGTCTTGCTGGCTTACTAGAAGTACCTGCACTTATCCTAGCCTCATCTTGACATCCAGTAAATGCGTTTACCATGTGCACACCAGCCTCTCTGTATACGAACTGGTAGAGTAATTTTAATGGCCTGGCAAACTACTCAAATGACAACCAGCTGTGTTTTGTAGTAGTTAGCGTATATTCTGTTTCAGAAGGTGGAATTCTGGGTTAAGTGAAGGAAATAAAATTACTCCAAAGACTTTTTAAGCATTTAACATTTTATTCTGGGCGAGAACTTTGAACTCAGCATTGTTAAAGAGGGACTGCAAATCTTGGAAATGGTGCGCAGCATCAGAACACGAGCAGGGAGGACGACTAAGATGCTGTATCAGCAATGAGCCAAAATGATCATGTTGTTAGAACATTTATGACTCATTTTAACACACACTGGGGGCTTTCCTGTCATTGCTGTGCAGAGTTTCTCATGCAGAGCTGCCATTAATGAGAAGGGAGTTAGCTTCACGCACAGATTGCCTCAGCACCTGTGTTAGAAGAGACCTACACTTTGTGACTGAGAGAAGACTTGTGCCAAAAAGGGGTTGCATTCCTGTGGCCATATGGGAAGTTTGGCCTGGTGCCTCCTTAAGAGATCAAGTACCTATTCAGGAATGGCTTAATAGCTTTGAGACTGGATACACATGTATTTGCACCAGGTTAGTTAAACCAGTGTAGGGCTTAGAAGAACAACCTCTGCTGAATCTTTCTGGAATGCTCATAGAAGGTATCTTGTCTCATGCCAGCCCCATCCCCAGTTACAGCCTTTGAAGACACAGTCACATTCAGCTGCACTGGTTCACACTGGTGTTTCTAGGCAGAACTATGCTCATCAGTGATTTAAAGCTAATATACTTGGCTGCTAATCGGGGCAGCTGAGATCCAGATACACATCTGGTTCTGTCACCTCCACTACAGAGGTGCTAATTCCTGGAAGAGGGGTGACCAGAAAGAGCTAGTGATCCCTTCAGCCAGAAAGATTTGGCAAACTTGTCTGCCGGAGCCCTTAACTTGGTATAAACATGAGGGACACAGTTAGTTATTGAAAATCTGTTCCCAATTGGAGTTAAGATGTCCACATGGTCTATTGGAGTAGCTTAACGAAATCCATGAAGAACCTCTTAGCTATATTGGTATGTCTCTGCTTGTGAATAAGACCTTGAGTTTGACCTGCATAAAAACTGTTGCTGACAATGCAAAAAATACGTGCATCCGTGCAGTTACTAACCCAGCACATGTTCCAACCCAATTGACTAAATCTTCACCGATCCCATGCAGTATCTTGAAAAAGCCTAGATTATAGAATATAGGCACATAAAGTGAACACATCACAATGTGCATTAATACCTTATTTGGGATTTTTTTGCTCCGTTTAAGCATGACACTGCTCCTGACCCTCCCAGCTGTAATTCATATCACTTGGAAGCCAGTCAAAATCTGCAATTCTTGTTTCTGTCACATTCCAGGGGTCATATTTTATCGGGAATTCCAAAGTGCAGCTTTCCTGAGTGTGTTCATGTTTCTGTTCGGGTAAGTGTATCAGCCTAAAATCTGCACTGTTTCAGTTTGTACTGAAACAGCATTGCCTTGTGCCTTCTTTTCTCGGTAAGAAGAAACCTGCCTTGTTATTAAAATATTATGGAAAAGCCATTATAGCAGGATAAAAAAACACTAAAAGAAAAGATTGATGTCTGTGCTTCGGGAGTTTGGAGCCCAGTTTTGAATCCAAATATGTAAAAATGTGAGACACTTATGAACTACTAATCTCATGATGGAATGAAAAACCAGCAGTATGTGTTACTCCAGCAGGAAGGAGAAATCACTGCTCTGCACCAAATATCAAGTTATAGGGGGTGCTTTTACAACTGTGAGACATCTCCTCCCATGTTACCTTCCATTTGTGTGTCTGGTTGGTCTTTGCTGCTGCTAGGCATGGGCAACTATATGAGCTGCTTGCCTATGAGGGAATAATATAATAACTCTCTCCCACCTTCCTTTGTCAAGAAAGACACAGTGTGTCTGCAGAAGAATTCAGAGCATGCTAAATAAATTCCTGAAGAATGGCCTAGGTGTTGTGAGAGCAGAAACCTTCTGCTGGCTCTCAGCACCATAACAACTTTTGGGACAGGGGACAGTTACTTGATAATGGGTGTGAGATGGTTAAAAGCATCTCACAGAACTATTGGAGGTGCCTTGCCACAGTGCTGTCAAATAAATGGGGCTGATAGCTACAGACGTCTTCATCTTCTGCAGTTGGGCTGGAGTAGGTGCACACAACTGCTGTCTTGTCTGACTGCAGACAAAAAGAGACAAAAACTGGAGATGAGCAACCGTGTATTTGGCAGATAGGAATTAGGAGTTGTGTATCCAACATAGAGCGGATAGAAGATTTGTCCAACCACAGCAGTTTTTCACTGCTTCTGGCTTGCAGCTTGCCCCTGAGACACACAGTCAAATGAGAAAAACAACAGAGATGTTGATTGTCTGCAGCTAGACTGAGTTGTTAATGAAATTGCACATGCTAGAATGCTAGCTTGGATGCTCTGTGAAGATTTGCTCAGGGATTCAAATGTTGTGGTCTCACACTCACAGGCATTTGATTAGGTATATATTGCTGAAAGTGTAATTTTGGCTGTGGAGCCTTTGGAACTGATAATAAAGCTTCAGGAGGCAAAAACTAGACTGAAAGAACGCCCAAGATGAATTTATAGAGCTGCCAGGAAGAAGCGTTTCTTTATAAACTCAGCAACTTGTATTTGGAAGTCCTTGAAAAAGAAACATGGAAAGAAATTCTCATCTCAGATGCAGCGAACTGTTTCTAATGATACTCTGCCGCTGTTATTTTGCAGGTGTCTACTGTCTTTCCTTGGTGTGTTTATAATTGCAAGAAGTAAAAAAGAGGAGCATTTACAAATTCCTTTTATTGACTGTGGACATATTCCTGGTGCGTAGGGCTTTTTTTCTGTCTCTGTTTAAATGAGGTATCTGATAATGGGATGACCTAGGAGAATTGAGTCACAAATGTGCTCTAGTCATATTTAATAAATATACTGTTCCCTTAATTTCTATTCCTGTTCCCAACAGATTTTTCAAAGAATTTTTCAGAGTTTTATCAAACTATTGTTACAACCAGTCAAATGAAAACAATGATTACTAGAGCAAAGAATGTTTAAATGATGGATTGGTGGGGGATTTGTTCTATTAAAATTCTTTACAGAGTTCTTGTTTTTCCCTTCTCTCACCACATTTCCTTAGGACACAAATTGACAGGGAAAATACAACCAGATTCTCAGAGTTCATGCTATGGCACACTGAATAAGGAAGATGACTCGGTGAACAGTCAAAGCTGAAAGAAGAAAGGACCTTACTTGCCAACTAACAGGAGGAATACCACTGGAACAAGGCGCAGCAGCACTTTTTTGTTGAACATATTTAAGTACACATTGAACTCCTGTATGTTGATGAGTCATAGTATTATTTAATCCTAATTAATTTATTCTGTGATTCTACCAAATGGGTTCTAAATATAAAGGAAGCCTTAAGAAAAACTAAATAACCATTAATGATACAGAATATTCTCCTAGTATCAATGCCTCTTGGGGATATTTTTAGAGTCTTAATTGCCTTGAAATGCAAATAGGCACAGAACAGGATTATAAAAATTCCCCTTTGAAACCCCTCAGATCTTAAAGACAAGGTGGGAAATGAGAACTTTCATAAGGGACTTCAAAGTATTCTGCTATATGTACAATTCCTTTTAAATCTGTTCCTTCCTGTTCAGGAGTCAAAGCTGTGGGCATATATACAGTGGACACAAATAGGTAAACACAAAGAATTTTGGATTGTATGTAGAGGGACAATCCTGATTATATCCTACCATCAGATTGGTTCTCTTATCTTCCAAGGAAATAAACACTTGTGTGAGGAGGAGGAAGAGAATATTTGCAATAAACATAGGCACATGGGCACGTGCATACATCTGAGGTGCCCAGCCAAGGTAGGTCTAGGGAATTATGCTTGACATTTTACATCCTTTGACAAGAGTCCTGTGCGCTGGGCTCTATGACCTGTTAGCATAGTCTGTCCTGAGTTTAGCTTCTTTTTCAGCAAAAGAAGGTTTTAGTGAAGAAAGTACATAGTTCTTCAGAGGAAGTGGGGTAGCCAGGCTCCCTCTCTTGATGTGTCTTGGAAAAATACTCCTAAAAAAGAAAAGTAGGGCACCTCCTTGTTACCACTGCTAAAGCTGTGTGAGGAAAGGCTGTAAAAAACAGAACCACAAAGAGTCATGGTAACTGTACCTCTTTTCCTTCATTAAATGGTAGGGTCTCCACATTGATTTAAAGAGCCAGAAGTGATGGGAAAGATGGCAATACAGGCTCTGTATTCAGATTTAGGAGGTCTGTGTGTCCCTCAGTCCCAGATGCCCAGCGAAAAAAAGCTGCTTCTGGGCGTTCATCATGGGCCCACTTAACCCTGCCTGGTAGTACTGATACACCTCAGCCAGCACAGTGGGGAGCAGACACATCCTCTGCATAAAAACTTAAAGTGCTCTTGAAAAATGTGCATGTCTTGTTTTAGGTTTAAGTTAATCTGCAGTAATGGATAGGGGCCATAGACTGTGTGTATTTTGTTTCAGTGAGATAAGAGGAAATGAGGTCTCTTTTTCTTTCTCAAATAATTTTTAATTTAATTTTAAAATAGCTACAGTTGAAGATCCATAAGGCAATTTAATTTCAAATGCTACAAAGCACACACAGAGCTGCAGTTTTTCCTGTGGAGCAATGGCCCAGGAACTAGGGCATGTGGGGACTTGTGAAGCTGTTTTTCAATATGGACCTTTCCCAGCTGACACAGGACAAGGCTCTCTGTCTGCACCTTACTTGTACTAGCTGCCTGGCTTGGCCTTCCTTTCCCCTCTTACAGCTTGAGTTGAAGTTTCTAAAGCTTAAATAAAAATTTTAAAAAGCACATTATTTTCACATGCTTACTCCAGGGAGTAAGAGCATGCCTCTCTCTTTCTTTTGCAGGTCAAATTTAAGCTTCTTTTTAAGTCCCAAGTGAGAGTATGTGCTAAAGATGGAAATAGGAGGCCTACAGGCTTTTGTTCTGTGACCTGGGAAACAAATGAGTGAAAGGGTTTGGTTTTGTTGCTTTTTTGAAATGATTGGCCTTGGGCATCTTTCCGAAATCTGTTTCCATGACTCAAGAGGTCTGGAGGAGGTAATAAAGGTTACCAGGTATAGGATTTTCTCTTTAGAGTAAGAAATCAAATGTAAAAATCTGTGGCAAAAGTTATTATTTATTTTGTATTTCTGTATTTCTTCTTGAACAATGCTTTTTTTTTTTCTTCCTATGGGTTTATACAAAAATTATAAGGGTTAAAATGTTGTCTTTAAATCCTAACATATTTGAAAGTAATTTATGGAGCAAAACACTGGTGAGAATTATATGCAATTAAAAGTTGTGATTTGACATGGTCTTTGTAACTCAAGTACATTCCAACTAATTAATGTATTACAAGATCGGAAAAACTCAGTGATGAGAATTCATTACTGCTCTGTCAAGAAAGGAACATGACTTGTTTCAAGAATCAGTTTCTAATCAATGCTGTTTTCAGATTCTGCTTGCCATACTTAGGTAGCAAACACTACAGACAAAGCAAAAGCCTTTGCACTGGAATACTAAACCATCTCTGAAGCCCTTCTCTTTAATAATGAGTCATTTTCGTGCAACGTTTTCCTGACATCAAAAATGTGGGCTAGATAATAAGCTGCAAAACTTGCACCTGCAGACTGAATTTTCCTGAACAGATCCTCCATGGGATATAGGGAAACCAAACCAGGGGAAGGCATGGTGGGCAGGCAGCATCACATGTGGTCCCCCAGGCTCAAGCTTGGGATTTTTGACAGACCAGAACCAGGAGGACTCGTTTAATGCTTGTTCCACTGCTGGTCACACTGCTGCAAGAGATGAAGTATTAACTGGCCATGGGCCTGGAAATGGGAGCTCTGGAGTAGAGCAAGGCTGTTTAATTTTTGCCGTAAAATGTCAGGATGCATTTACCAAATGGTTTCAGCTGGCAAAAAATAAGTGACCTTTGGACTGGATTTGTCTACCTGCTGATGGTAGGGGCCTGGTGTTCTCCTGGCGGGCTGATTGCCTGCTCCTCACTACAGCCCAACTTTTGGCAGCATCATGCTTTTCATGTAAGGGCACTGGTTACCTAAAACCAAAGGAAAGAGGCTGGATATTATGAGGGCTTGAGTTTCTGTGCTTTGAAACTGTGGTTTCATGCACTTGGCAAGCTGCTTGAATGGTTCAGCGCTGCTGAAAGACTCATCCTCTTTTTCCTGGATGTGAGGTCCTGTGGCTTCCTGTGAGCCAGTTCAGCTCACCCATCCTGCAGACACAATCTGCATCCTTCTCCTTGCTGGGATAGCTCTCTGAGCTGAGGCAACCAGGCTGACTGGAGAGTATGGTGGGAAGGATGTGAAAAGGAGGAGAGGGAGTGAGACCTCTCTTCTTCAGGGGGAACTATTACGTTATTTCTCTCCTGAGGAGATTCTCTATACAGCAAGCATTCTGCTAAGATCATTCTTCATGTATCACCATAACCCAAATGCAGTTATGAGCTTCTTGAAGAACTTTTAAGTGTCTGACTCCTGAAGCAAAACCATGAGCCTGAGAACTGGCTTCTGTATAGTGAGCGATAGGCAGCTCATGACACCAGCAGTGTCTCAGGGTCAACTAGAAGCCCAGGCATATGTCTGACTATGAATGATTCTGAGGATTAATTTTTTTATTTCCAATGACTGTTTGCTATAAGGTGTATAAACAGTGATGGAAGGATGGACTGAAAAGTCTTCTGAACTCAAAATGGTCTCACTCTTGTGATCTCTCCTTCCAGCCCACCTTATGCAGGATTGTTGGTTGCTTGCAGAGAAAAGTGTTGCCTCTGATAACACTGGGGTGCAGATGATTAGGCTGAGCTGTCTTTCAGTTTGCCCTTTTGTTACCGTCCTCTGAGACTTGGCATTTTTCTTGTTGGAATTTATTGTTCATTCCTTCTGCGGAGATCAGCTGGACTGTGTTAACAATTAGCCCAAAGGAGACAAGGGCTAACTACCGTAATTATATTCCATATATTGTATGTGGTTTTAGCTTGGCTTTTTTTTTCCTTACTGATTTGAGAGTGAAGGATGACTATTCTTTGCCTAGAAAAGCATCTCCCTTGGTGGATGGGAGATGTTTTAACCTTCTGAAGATGGGAGATGCATAGAGACACCTTCCAGGCTGCAGTAACCATTGAGTTGCAACCTAAAAGGAGGCAGCATGGGCAAATACGTCACTCCATATTAAGCACTCATGACCATTTAGAAAGGATCCTGGTCCTCTTGCCATGTCTTATATTTGTTCAGAGCATATGTAGCTGATCTGGACCCTTAGGCACATAAACATATTTTTGAAGCATGCCTTGAGGATGTCAATGTCTCTTGGGCATGTACTGTCTTCCATGCAGAGCTCTTACTGGCTTCTCCCTTTAGGGAAATTAGACTGTGGGGTGGATATACACCACAGGATTACTCTAATAAGAAGATACAGTACTGCCAGAATGTTCCCATGACCTGGGAAGTGTTTATAGAGTACTGCCTTACAAGGAAGTTGTATAAACTTACAGTCTTAGATTACATTACCTTTATTTTCTGATTCCCACCAAAGTAAGCAAGGGCAGTTTTGGGTATCCACAGAAGCAGAATTATTTACGCCTCAGGAACTTCAAGGTCTAAATAGTTAGGTGGCTGCTGAGTAGGCTTCTTATTTAATATCAATCCCAGTTTTGCAGTTAGGGCTCTAAGGCTTGTCCAGGCCTTTCAAAGTGCATTTCATAGTACAAATCTGCAGCAGCATTTTGATTGCTCATAGACTCAGTCACCGGTGCCAGGAGAATTTGTGTCAGTTCAGTTCACAAGGTAACCGTGAGAGGGACGGTGTTCAGCAGCAGACTCAGAAATCATAGTGGCTGAAGAGTTTTGCATGAACGCAGAGGTGTCCATACTACAGTGGTCTCCTGGACTCCTTGTTGACAGTGTCAACAAAGAATTTGTTGACAATATTTGAAGGAGAGCTACTGTAAAGGAATGATTAAACAGGTGGCTCTAGCACTGACTGCTTTACATGAAGTCAATATTTCACTGTAGTCCGTGGCACTAATACCTTAAACATGAAAAGTGGCCTGTGGCCATTGATGAAGGAGCCAATTTTTGTACTTTGCTAAATCACATTGGGGAAAATAGAAATGATTGATTTAAGCCTCCAGCACAAACACGCACTTGCCAGCTCTCTAGTTGGAGATTTCCACTCTTGGAATAGGCATTGCCTTGCCTAGATGAAATCTTTGGAGTCTGCTGCCAGATCTTTTGCCAGAATCATTAAACTGGTTGAAATAACAGCACTGTCATTTGTCTTCCATTTGATAGCTTGTGGGCGTAAATCCAGAGCAGCATGAACACAAGATCAGGAGTTTTCTCTGCATTTGAAAAAAAAAGTTAAAAGTTTTTCCTGAGTTTCAATAGCAAGTGTATCAAGACCCGAGCTTTATGCTGTCTAACGCTCTCCAATGCGCTCAGCCAAGAGTAAGAAAGCAAGCTTGCACTGCACAGAGCCTGTTAATTAGGCAGTTCTTACCTGTCAGTGAAGGTCACTGCTGGTAACACACCGTACAGCAATAGAATACAACAAACTACTTGAGCTTCTATTCAGTTTTCCAAGAACTGCTGTTCTGTGTTTTATAAGGGAAAAGAGCTGAGGAATATGATTTACTAAGCATTGCAGTCACCCATGTGTTTATTTTTTTCCAGACAATGTTTAACAGTTTAACAGCATGTCCTGATAATACTGACTGGATTCTGGGTGCATGCATGTGCTGCAGGATTTGATTCAGAAGTGTGAATAACGGAGTTTGCTGATATAAGAAGGCAGCTTTATGTCATCTGGCCTGGCCTCTTTTACAGTTCAAGTCAGGCAACCTCCTCCGAGCACTTCTGTGTGAACCCCTTGGCCCATCTGTAGAAGAAGGCAACCCATCCTCTCCTACTAGTCAAAGTAGAGGGAACCACCAATGCCATTAGTAATTTTTACTACCAATGAGTCATTGTTTGCTTTTGAACTCTGTCTTATGTCTATTTTAACTTGTTTGGATTTAACTTGCACTGTTTGTCTTTTGCCAGTGATTTAAAGCATTCAGTTAGTCCCTCTAGTGAAATACAGTATGATGACTTGGGCTTTTCACTAAGCCAAAGAGAAGGAACTTTTAAGTTTCTCAGCATCAGATCTTTCTTTATGCCCTCAAATTGTTTCCTATGGTGGTTTTCTGATTTCTCTCCATTTTTCAGTATCTGCATTTGGTCAAATACAAAGTAAAAATCCAATCCTAGCAGCACTGAAGAAGTAGCACAGAACTGGACCAGACCCAGCACACCATGATCGAGTGCTTGGCTTCCCCTCCTCTCACAGCTGCAGCCCTGCCACCTCTCCCGGGAGGTGCCTACGCTTTGTTTTGACACTGTATTTTAACGCTGGCTGTTTTGCACACCCAGAGATGCAGTAGCATCAATTATTTTCAGTGATTTGATGTCTGACTCATTGCTGAGTTCAGTGGTGGTCCAAAGAGTAGGTACCCCTGCTCAGAGGTCCCCAGGAGGTGCAGCACAGCAGGAGACCTTGAAACCCTCTGGTCCAGGGTCTGACACAGACGTGGTGGCACCTGGCAGTTGTAGTAAGCAACACTACAGAGCTGCTCTTTCTTCAGCACCTGAGAGATTTGAGAGTTCAGCGAGATTTGGGAGGAGGATGACTAATTCAGTGACTGCTTAAGGTGTGGTGAGTAAATAGGACCTGTGAGAGGTGCCTGGATGTGAGGAGTCCCTGCCTATACTGGTTGATCTCTTCTCAAGGATGGTGGTGGTGCACCAGAGAGAAAAGATGCTGATATTTGTCATATATGACAGAAAGGCTTCTGCTTGCTCTGTCCCTCACTGCTCACAACCTCACAGTGAGCACATGTTCTGAAAGCAGCAATTTGGACTTCTCCCCTCCAAGAGGACACAAGCACCTGCCAATGCTGAATAGGACATCAAGACCCCAAGTAGTGCTTGCCAACCATGTCCTCTTTGGATCATTCTGGTGATCAGCCATTTGCTTAGGCTGTGGATATCCCACCCTGAGGTGCCCAAGGCTCCCACAGGGTCCTGCTCCCAGGTGGACCTTGCCCTTCTGGTCCTGCTCCTCCCTGAGTGTTCCCCAGCCCTTTTGTGGATATCAGATTTGATATTCTTCTGTGTTGGAGGGAATGTTGTTGTGTTTTTACAGCCCAGGGTCCCGTTACACCACAGAGCAGGGACAGCTATTTTGCCAGTAGCTTTGCACTGTG